GTATCTTGCAATAAGGTGTGGGTCGTTATTTGAGTCCGAAACCTCTAACCATATTATTTTTCTACTATATCCATTCACAGCACCATGGATACATAATCCTTATGGTTTAAGTTTAACCGTCCATAAAAAACTGGTCCTTTGGCGTATTATACGCGTCGGCATAAGCGATGTGCTTTCCGCATCTCAATACCATCTGTTATTATTTCCATAACGTCGCCCCCCTTGACGTACATGTGGTAATCCAGCATAAACCTACGCCATATTGTACGGTATCCTATGCATTCCCCCACTTGTTTGTATTTCTATGTTTATAACATCAGACACGGTCTCAAAAGGAGTATATATATTCCATTACGCCGTTTTAAATTTAAGCGTTTAAACATTCTATTCACTGTACTAAATGACGTCGTAATGTCATGCCGTACCAGAAAGTACTCTATTATCAGCAGAGTTTTGTTTGTTATAGATGTTGAGGGTAGGTATCTTGGCATGGTAGCTTTGGTAATGCCGAACATTATAATGATGAAGACACAGATCAACATCAAGGTTTTCATCCTCGTTAACTTTTGTCCAGTAGTTGTGTCTGAAATAAGAGTTTATCTTTTATCTAAATCTTTATACATTCATAGTATATAAATGGGTAAATCTCTTAGCTCCGTCTTTTAAAGATTGATAGGTGCGAGAAAATATAACAATTAAAATGCTAGTAGGATATTTTGTTCTAACTGGTCCTATATATATGTTTGCTCTTAAGTGTTCTTTTCTCAAATGTTAAAATATACAACAAAATTAGACATTGATGCTAAATGCAAATGGTGCTCAGTTAACTTTGTACTTGTGTGTATGAACATAGCACTTGCCGTTCTCTATGAAATTGGTCAACACTATCTAAGTACTTTAGAGAAATACTGAGTCTGTGTTAGCTCAATAAAATGCTGCATTGCGATACATGTTTAATACTGTGCACAATGCCATTCTTAGACGTAAAACTTGTATTCCCTGTATACTTTTAAAAATTTGTTTTTACTCATGGACAGATTTTGTGATGAGGACTCAAAATGTATAAGCACTAATATAATGAACATATTTAGAACACAGCAGATTGCACAAAACACACAGACACACTTGTGGAACTAAAGTCTGTGATATATTACCACTAATGGATTATATCAAATAACATTAACTTCCCTCCTTAACACATTCTTTCCTCCATGACAAATCTCAATGAAATTATTTAAAACGTTTAAAAAAACATACCTGAAACCAAAGTTGCTGCTTTCAGCTTCTAAAGCACGTGTAAAATGGGTTAGCCAAAAGTCATAAGACGTAAGTCACAAATCAAAAGTCAAAAGTCGAAAGTCAAAAGTAAAACATCCGTAAGTCTAAACTCAAAAGTGACCCTCCAAGGCTTCCATATAAAACACTTCATATACGGTATTATTTCGTTTCTCTTTTTTTTGGAATAGAAGAATCAAGGTATTTTTTTTCTTTCTTTTTTTTATTGAATTATCACGAATTATTTTCCCTGGACACATTGTGTATTGAAGCAATCAGCCTTGATTTGAAGAAAGCTTAAAATGTCCATAAACTTTAAAGAACCATGAACTTTTAGGCTCTTTATTTCTCTCATTTTCTTTACCAGTAGTTTTGCCTCAGACTAGGCGTAGTCATAATTATCAAAATAGAACTGTCGTTTTATGTGGTACTGTGCCGCTATGATAATGTGAGAGTGACGTTGCAATTTTTGTGTACACAAAAGTTTACAATCTTTGTCTGAATAGGTAAAACAGGGTATTTAGAAGTGAATATGATTCAAAATCAGAAATGGAATTTGAAGAGTCTCGATGGCAAAGTTGATTAAGTCACTAGGATGCCATACAAATTAAATTGTATCATGAGTTCGAGCCACACAAGTTGTCAAACCTTTTTTTCCTTTTTCTTTCCCTATTTTAATTTTTACATGAGATGCAAGTTAATTGGAATATAAAGGCAGTTTTGTTATAATTTCGAATAATTTATATATAATACCGGAAAAAAATAATTTTTATTCTGTGTAGTGTGTAATATATATTAGTTGTACTTTTGCAGTGCATAAGTTTTTCGTGCCAACTTAACTATAGTTGAAACAATTTATGTACATGTATGCATTCCGTATCAGGTTGCACCAACTTGCTAGATATAGCAACATTTAAAAACAAAAGTGAAATGAGTAATAGAAAGAGCACCGAAACACGAGGCTATCTGATTTGTACGAGGGGGCGTAGCCCCCGAGTATTAATCAGATTGCCGAGTGTTTTGGTGTTCTTTCTCTTTTGTATCATAGTCAAACATAAAAGCACGTTCCCTGTTGTCACAATATGAAACCCCGGCAAAAATGAACCAATGAACGAACATCTGAAAATGACATTTCTGTCGCTTTCCCTTTCTCTGCCGTAACAATATATATAAACCCCAGCAAAAATGAGCCAATCAATGGGCGTGCTCTGGAGTGCGGGTAACTAATACCCGCACTCAAGTTAACGCACTGTGCATGTAAATGTATACGATTTAACCCTGACACATTTTCAACAGAAAGGTCTCCAAACTATGATACAAGAAGTTAATAGAAAATAACACAGCGCTAATAATCTTTATAAAATAAAAGAAATTCTTAATCGATTGATAATTATACAAAAGAAGTTGGGACCGAACCTGGCTGTCATGCATTGATATGTAACTAAAAATTTACCACACAACTTTACCTTCTGTGTTACACCGCCAGTTGGTAAATTTGTCGATATTTTAATCTATATGGCAAGCCTGCTTGACTTAAGATATTAAACACAATATGATAACTGTTTTACACCGTTAAAGTGGACTTGACCACCGCGTCACTAAATAATTATCTTAAACGCACAGTATATCATCAATGTTTACATAAAGACCGGGCGGATATCATACTTCCTTGTGTAACATTCCATTGTATTGAGTAATACAAACAACTTTTAAAGCAGGTGATTAATCATTATATTTCAAATCATCAGCCCATATCTGATTATAAGAGAATAACAAATGAGCATTATTTCTATTAAATCTATATAAACGATCTTTTGTACAAGATTCTACATTATATAATGCATTTCATGACCACTCACACTGTTGACTTCCCCATCCTCATGTAGTTTAATTTATCTTACAGTATAATGCTATTATACAAATTTTAGTAGAATAGACATATGCACAGCAATTAAAACTATAGGACGAGGTATTATTTCACACCATTTTCTTAAACATTTCGACAGAACTTTGTTACTTCGAGTCCAATATGGATTTGATTTTGATAATACTTTTTGGACGCGAATAATGCAAACGAGGCTATATGGAGTACAGTATAGATATATTGGACTGGAAATAAGGACGCGAATAATGCAAACGAGGCTATATGGAGTACAATATAGATATATTGGACTGGAAATAAGGAGTACACACTGGCTTTGGTATGAATAATACTATAATAAGTATAGGCTATAATAAAAAGCTAAATTTGGTAAAACTGGATCCAATAATGATGTCTGTTGGAAAATCATGTAGGCTTACGTTACGCTGTACTTCCTTTGGTTATAAAGTTTAAAAAATTATACATGTTTATACATATAAATCGCACCCACACTGCAACACATTTGATTTCTCAATTTCTTATCTACATATCACTGTCATTATAAGATATGGAAAACAAAAATGGAATACAATGTCTCAATGATAATTCCAAATATAATTATAAAAAAGAAAGAAAAAAAAAAGAAAAGAAAAAGAAATGTGCAAAAGAAGCAAGGAAAAATATCAAGAACATCGTAATAATAGAATAATTATATTGAAAAGCACGTAACAACATATATACAGATATATGAAAAGATACAAAACACAAAATATGAAAACTGATAAACTTTAAAATACCTGAGTATCCATACAGAAAGGAGTCCGGGTGTGAATGATACCTGGATACTTTATCACAAATGGAGTGTGTAAATTTATTCAAGGTCTTACTATATATACTTTTAACTACAAAATTAGATCGCAGCATGTAGGTTATTTAAAAAATTTATAATACTCCATATTTCGAAATATTTCTTTCCATTTTTAGATATCTGATTATCTGAATAAAATATTTGATAAAACTACATTGTCGGGACAGGAAAATGTCCACATGTTAATTAGCCCTCAAAGGGACTCCACTGAGATGAAAAAGCCTAAAATCATAAAATTTGATTTTTTTACAAAGATCAGTTGAGGCACTCAAGCGTTGCACGCTTTTCAGTTTTTGGGTCATGTTTTACAACCAAAATAACTATTCTAAAAAAAAAAAAAAAGAAAAAAGAAAAAAAAAAGAGCGTGCGAATGATCTGAAATTTTGCCCTCCACCTACACCAAATGGAACATCTACAAATAAAAATTATTTCTATGCCATTCACGTCAAAAAACGTCAGTGGTGCCCCTTTAACTGCTGGAACCAACAGTGATTAACTTTTATCATCAGTAAAACACAAAGCTAATAAGCCTGCACATCCGTATTTATTGTTTTATAGCTCAATTTTTTGCATCAAGCTATTGATAAAATGTGTTTCAACTGTCAGAGCTTTATCCTATCATAAGGTGATACATGTACCAATGATATTTTCATATTTGATTTATTTCCATTCAAATATTTATGGCCGTATTCTTGTTTAATAAATGTATTTATGTGTGTCCGTGACCCGCGGGTGCCCAAACCTGCCCTCTACACATCGCCTCATTCTCACGTACTTTTTATATCTATCAATCGGTTCAAAATATGATAAACAAGATCAACAAGGAAAGGCGGCGTTCAATGAACGCAACAAGGAAAGGAGACGTTCAATGAACGCAACAAGGAAAGGCAGCGTTCATTGAACGCAACAAGGAAAGGCAGCGTTCAATGAACGCAACAAGGAAAGGAGGCGTTCAATGAACGCAACAGATACAGAACAGTCATAATATTGCTCACTGACGGACGGAGGACGACCATGCCCCGATTTAAAAAATAATGACATAAAATGATAATGCTTTATTATCATTTATTTTTCTCTTGTTATTGAACAATTGTAACAATCATTTGTAGAAAAAAGGTTACAGTGTAACATATCCTTATTTGTGTGGGACTGATTAGCCTTTGCATCCAGTATTGATCCAAGCCTTGCTCGTGTAATCTCCCAGAGTTTGAATAGTGTTATAAACTCAGTAGGATAAAGACTTAATATGAATGATACAAAGGTATACGAACGAAAGATAATACTAATTTTTAATTTTTTAACAAAAAGTATGCAGCACTGATGGCCTCATATCATTATGCAATCGCAGTCTCGGCTCTTTCCGTCAAACTTCGGAAAATGACCTTTAACATGAAAGGACGGAAACGTTGTGTCAGTGAAACAAAACGTATAAGATTACTGAAACTAGTTTATTTTCATTATATTGTGTACAAAGCCACTTAAACAAAAATGTGGAACGACACATAGTCCCCCTTTTTACCCCTTGACTCACATGATTGGTAATTTTGTTATAGAAACTTGCCATAAATGGGTACATGGAAGTGTTCAATTATGGAAAAAAAGAAAAATAATGAAAACTTTGTGATAAATAGTTTTCAAGATAATGGGACATTTAAGGCCCCTGTGACCTATACCTTTGAACTAGTGACCCAAAATCAATAAGGGTCATCTAATAATTATGACCAACCAATATTAGAAATATGAAGACTTTGTGATAAATAGCTTTCAAGATAACATTCAAGAACCCTGTGACACTGACCTTTGACCTAGTGACCCGAAAATCAATAGGAGTTTCTTACCAGTTACGACTAATCTGTATGTGAAATATGAAGACTTTGTGATAAATAGCTTTCAAGATAATAAGCAGAAACCATTCTGACATTTAAGGCCCCTGTGACCTTGACCTTTGAAGTAGTGACTGGAAAAGCAATACGGGTCATCTGTTGGTTATGACCAATCACTATGTGAAATATGAAGACTTTTTGATAATTATCTTTCAATCTAATGAGCTGAAATCATACTACCATTCAAAGACCGTGACCTTTGACCTGGTGACCCCAAAATCAATAGGGGTCATCTACTAGTTATGACCAATCAATATGTGAATTGTGATAAATAGTAACCAAGATAATAAGCGGAAATCATATTACCATTAGACCCCTTTGACCTTGACTTTTGACCTAGTGACCCCAAAATCAATAGGGGTCATTTACTAGTTATGGCCAATCAATATGTGAAATATGAAGACTTTGTGATGAAGTGTAACCAAGGTAATGACCGAAAACTATTCTGACATTTAAAGCACCTGTGACCTTGACCTAATGACCCCAAAATTGATAGGGGTCATCAATTAGTTAAGACCTATCAATATGTGAAATATGAAGACTTTGTGATGAATATTTTTCAAGATAATCAGTGGAAACCATTCTGATATTTAAGGCACCTGTGACCTTGACCTTTGACCTAGTGACCCAAAATCATTAGGGGTCATCTACTAATTTTGACCAATCACTATGTGTAAATATAAAGCTTTTGTGATAAATAGCTTTCAAGATAATCAGCGGAAACCATGTGGTCTACTGACAGACAGATAGACAGACAGGCTGACCGACATTAGCAATACAATATACGCCCTCTTCTTCGAAGGGGGGCGTAATAAAGTACATTTATAAATAAACAAGTAAATAGTACATTATTTACTATCATTTTTAGAAACGAAAAGTACAAACTGTATGCACGTTGACAATATTTGGGATTCAGTTATAATTGCATAATGCATATTATTTGGTTCTGATTTTCATCATAATTTTACCAAAAGTGACTTTATTAAATAAATACATCAATAATCGCCGGGATGTCCCTATTGAGCACAAGGCCCGATCAGTCAGCTAGTAAACATTCCATCAGGTACTTTTTTCACACAGAATATTGTACTACATTGTATAAGGCTTCGTGAAGCTGAATGTTTGAGGCTGACTGAGAGGTCACTATCATGCTTACAGTTAAGGAAGACCTCAGATGCCGTTCCGTGCATTATATCAGTAAAACCACTGACTTCTGCAAGGTAGCTGGATGGCTTCCTCATATGAAAGAATCAAAAGTACCTGTCAGGATTGAACCAACAGAGGTAAAAGGCAAGTGGTTTGAAGTCAACGACCTTAACCTCTAGGCACCGGACGCCCAAAATAATGGCGTGGTTTGTTGGCAAAAATACACTGTTGTAGTTATTCATTCAGTTTAATTAAAAGAATGGAACGTGTAAACTTTTATACATTCTTGCAAGCAAATTTCAAATGCTAAACTTTACACATGCAATGCTAGTTATATGGTGAAATACCACGATTTCAACTGTATATTTATAGTTATAGTAGGGGTGCTTAAATTCTGTTTAATATATTAAAATCAAGTAATGGTCTTTAAAAATAGTGTATTTTATGATGTTAGAAAACAATTAAATACATAAGCATGAATTTAAGTTAATAATATTTAGGAAAACCTATTTATATTGTTAACACATTTATCATATGATTAAGAACATTAATTAACTCATCAGTGTTAACCTCATAACCGGCGTGCCATTAAACTTGCTTCAGGAGTTTGCATGACTAAGCAATGAGTGACTCTTTTCTATAACATGGAGTACAAATGTTGAAGAAGTGGTGAGTGTTTCAACTGATATAAACAACTGAATATCTTTATTTTCTCCTGCCTCTGTCATAGGTTTCGTACACTTTTTACTATAGGTCTCAAATCTTTCACCAGTCTGGTCTTTAAAATTTGACTTCTGGTATAGCATCTTAAATTTTGGAAAGAGTTCATCACTTTCATCAATATTGTTTTCAAAGTTCAAGGCATACCATACACTCAAAATAGTTGTGACATCTAAAATAGTTTTTCCTCGATCATGTATAAACATATCTAAACTATCAGTCAGTACCAGGCTATCCGATCCACAGTTATACATAATTATTCTAATAGTTTTAGAATCGGCAAAAAATGATGGTATATACGAACTAGACAATTCTTGATTCTTGTTCACTTCCGCAAACGCATTAACAATTGTTTGAGACAAAAGTTGTGACAATGATTTACAAGTAAATGCATCCTTTTGTATTTTAACATTAAGACTATCATCATCTGAATCCTCATCTTCAAAGTTCTCAGTTCTCATTTTCTTTGGTGATGGTTCATAACTTTCATCTTCTTCATTCACTTCAGTTCCTATCTTGACCGCACATCTTTTCACAAGTATATCTGCATACCCGTGCCATACATCTCCATTACCTGAATAACATATATTACCTGTTAGAGACATGATTTATATAATTTTTATAGGTGTTTATGGTAATTCTATTTGTCAAATATTCAAGCTCTAGACACTGTATTTGTAGTTTCCAGAAAGATGTTTTTAATACAAATGACTATACAAAGTGATGTAATGGGCCAATATTCAAGCTCTAAACAGTGTTGCTTCCAGAAAGATATTTTAATACATTAGTCTATACAAACAAAGTGCTGTTCTGGGCCAATATGAGTCAATGGGCATGATTTATATACATGTTTACTAACTTTTAACATGTTTTACAGTTTACTTAATAAGTCCTTGACACAAGGAAATTTAAAAAAAAATGTTTTGGTAAAAATGTGCTGGGTAAGGCCACATGACTAAGTTCTGAGCTTTGTAATTCCATCCTTGAAGAGTTCATTGTGATTATGTATTTAAATCTTTACCTGGAGTACTGGGTCTGGTGGAAATGATTTAAAGTTTCAAGGCATTCATTTACTGTAAGTCTATGAATGAAATGATTTTTTAGACATATTTCTTTACAATATCTCATTCCTTACTAATTGTTATTGACCAAAAACCACCTGTTTTACCATACATGTAAACAAAGTGACTGATATAACTTTTATAGAGGTTCACTACTGACTAAGAAATGCTATATATCAACCATCTTAGCTCTTTGCATTGTAGTTTGAGAAAGGAAAAGTTTAATGCATTTTTTATACAAATTAAGTGACTCAGGTCAAACCAGGACCACTTGTGATACTATCAAAATATCATTCTAGTAAGGGACTATTAGGCAATGCTAAATGTGTATACCAAATTTCTAAATCTGGGTAATGCAATTTCACAAAAGTTAACTTAAATTAGTATTTTCAAATATAAGTACATACAAACTAAGTGATCTCAGGGGCCAGGCAAGTTTTAACCCAAGAGGCATACCGGAAATTACTATTTCTTTTATAGGGGACCAAAAGCCGATCAATTCTACATACATTATACAAAAATACAAAGTGGTTTTAGGAGGAGAAATGGTTGGAAGAAATTGTGGATAATGATGGACGAAGAAAGACAATGACAGAGGGACAGACTGCCATCACAAAAGCTCACCTCTGAGCACTTAGTGCTCTGGTGTGCTAACAAGACATGCCCAAATTTTGATATTGTTTTTGATCTTTGACCTCTTTTGACCTTGACCTTCATGCTCAACTCACATTTGTTCTAAGTTATATTAAAACCCATCTATGCATATATCACTAATGAATTTTTTAATTTGTTATTTGACCTATAATACCCTGAAATAAGACCTTGACCTTTGCCACAGACACATGAATTTTTCCTGTGACACTCTGCCTTACTATGGAGAACATTTGTCCCAAGTTATATTAAAATACCGCGAGGCATGTAAAAGTTTAGCTCTGGTTATGGGTTTTGCCCCCACCACACCAAATGTGACCTTGACCTTGAGCAGCAGACTTTTGCTTGTAACACATCACCCCCATCATGGTGAAATGTGTATCAAACTATTTTGTAATCCTTCAAAGAATGAGCAATTTAGACTGGAAAAATCTAGGCGGACGCCCAGACTGACAGACACACATACACCAAACTGCCAAAATGGAAAGTAGCGACTATTAAGTCGACCTCACCACAAGCAGGCTCAACGATCTAAAATCCTCTAACCACTAAGCAAAATACTTCAAAATATGAGCAAGATACAGCACCAAAAAGCTAATGTTATTATTTTTATTTGGCCTCTTGTGACCTTGACCTTCATTTTGTGCGAGACAACTCAACTCAACACAGAGAACATTTGTGCCAAGTTATATCAAAATCCATCCATGTATATAGTTATTCTCGCAAATGAATGTTTTATTTTGTTAATTGACCTTTGACCCCTAAGTGTGACCTTGACCTTTGCTACAGACAAATGAAATTATGCTCAAAACACTGGCTTTGCGCTGACCCCCAAGTGTGACCTAGGTTTTATGTGAGATATACATGTACCACCCTATCATGGCCAATATTTGTACCAAATTATTTTGTAATCCTTCAAAGAATGAGCAAGATATAGACTACACATATCCGGAAAAACAAAGCAATGTCGAGTTATCTATCATTCTTGAACACAGCACTGTATGAAGTTTTATTTATTAATTTATTTGAAAAAATTCAATAGTATTTATGTTATTCTTAAAACAACTATTATCAAAGTCAACAAATTTTGAAGTATTCAATTACCTCCTTTTTTAAAAATAACCTTGAGTATATATATTAATGTAGAGTTATGATTTTTATTTGTTTGGGTCGTCAGCGAAATTTCAGAGTCTAATGCTGTTAATTGCAAATGCCGAAAGTAGTCCACTTTTTTGAAGCGGTTACTTCCCTTTATATGTACACTAACGCCGAAAAATTCAGGGGAGATCACTGCGTAAAGATGGTCAAAGACAGTCGCATTAATTTTCAAGCAAAATGATTCCAGAATGGTCGAAGATTTCTAATATTATTTTATTGTATTTTCTGATCGAAAATAAGTAAATACAAAGCGGACATTCAATCTCTGACACAGAAGTTTACGATAAACCTAACAACAAGTAGTTTGCAAAACAGCTTAAAACTTAAGCGATTTAAAAGAAAGAAATATTTTTATATTGTTACAAGTATCCAACAAATTAAAAATAGCGTTGGCTTATAGAATTGTCAATAAATGAACAATCACAAATTACGCGGATGAATATGATTTTATCAATGAAAATACTATTTTTAGCGATGTCGATTACCGAATACTACACAAACCGAGTAGTGGAATATATAGATTCTACATGTCGGACTGTTTAGGCGAGAAGATTTTCGCTAAATTACTTCAATTTTATACAACAGGTTTATCCTGAACAAAATACATCGAAATTAACAAGGATTACAAACCCGAAATGCAATTGAAGTTCTAAATTTAGAATGACTTGATGTTATTCAGACATTGTTTGAATAACTTCTCCGTGGTGCAGGGGTAACGCGCTCGCTTAGTGAGTGAGAGGTCTGGAGTTCAAATCCCAGTCGAGGAAACTTTTTTTTTAAATTCTTTATTAAGTGTCTTTGTTAAGGAAGTAGCCATGATTTGCAAGGATAAAGTGTGGCTGTCGTAAAAAATGAACATAAATGATTTTTTGATGCAACTCTAGTTATGCAGAATTCCGTATGTATCAAACTCTTGTGCCTTGCAAAATGAATTATAATACATAAGAAGAGGGCCATTATGGCCCTCAAGAGGGCCATGATGGCCCTGAGGTCGCTCACCTGTATATAGGCCCCCCAACCCCCACCCCCACCAAACGTTGCAGGGCCAATTTAACCCAAGTGCTTTTATTTGCACAAATTTGGTAGACACCCATAAGAAGATGTTTCATGCTAAACATCTAAGCTCTAGCTCATTGGGCTTTTTAAGAGAAGATTTTTTAAAGTTTTTACTATACACATGTAGTTAAAAACAATAACACCCCTGGGGCCGGGCCAGTTCTGACCCCAGGGCTTTTATTTGAACAAACTTTGTAGACACTTACTAGAAGATGTTTCATGCTTAATATCTAAACTCTAGCTATTTGGGTTTTTCCAAAGAAGATTTTAAGTTTTTGCTATACACATAAAAAGAAAATCAATGACCCCCGGGGCGGGGCCAATTTTGACCCCTGGTCTTTTATTTGAACAAACTTTGTAGACACTCACTAAAAGATGTGTCATGCTTAATATCTTAACTCTAGCTCTTTGGGTTCTTTTAAAGAAGATTTTTTAAATTTTTTACTATAGAGAAAATCAATGACCCCCCGGGGCGGGGCCAATTTTGACCCCAGGGCTTTTATTTGAACAAACTTGGTAGACACTCACTAGAAGATGTTTTATGCCAAATATCTAAGCTCTAGCTCTTATGGTTTTTTAAAAGAAGATATTTAATGTTTTTTCTTTCGGTTGCCATGGCAACCAGAGTTCTGCATGGAATTAAATTCTTTGAATAATTTTTAAAGGTGACCACCAAAGGAACATTCCTGTGAAGTTTGGATGAAATTGGCTTAGTGGTTTAAGAGGAGATGTCATTTAAAGTATTACATATGTAAATATAATACAAGACATGCCCACAGGCAGAATGTCGAGTCTGCTTGTCTTAATTCAAACCTGAAACTATCAGCTTCAGATCAAGTAGAAAGATGTATACATATGTGCGAAGTGCGCAACACATCATCTCTATTGTTTATACCTAAGGCAAACTCTTGACATTGCATCATCTTAGGTAAACTTGACCCCTAACACGGTAACCTGGTTCATGTGCATGATATGAAGTCTCATAATGAACATTTGTTCCTAAAAACACAATTCATACTAATTGAAATATACACAACGAAGTTATGGCATTGACAAGTTTGGACACACACAAACACTGAACAGCCATTTTGACAACTACGTCAAGCTCAGCCCAACTGGTCTCAACAAAAGTCCTCTGACCACTAAGCATAATACTTCAACACATAAGCAAGTGCGGACAAACAAATTTTGATATTTTCATTTGACCTTTGACATCTTGCAGCCTTGACCTTCATCTTGCACAAGACAACTCAACTCACATTTGTTCCCAAATTATTTTAAAATCCCACCTCGCAGGTAGAAGTTATGCTCAAGACACGGCTTTTGCACTGACAAATCTAGGCAGACGCACAGACAGATGCACGCACATACACCGGCAAATATATCAAAAGTGACGACTAAGTTGAGCTCACCACAAGTGGGCTCGACAAAAATGTTCCAGAACAAAATATTCCACAGCTATATTAAGATGGTTTAGAGAGGATTCATTTGCTAAATAAAATACAATGCCAAATTTCTTTCATTTTCTAGTAGGTGCATGTATTCTGTAATTGTGTTACTCACAATATAAACAATATTGTTACAATCTACAGCCACTATATATGCATATATACAGCTTTATACACTTTAAGTGTAACAATAAAATATCCTCAATGCATTCAAAAATACATAAACAATAA